TCAATGGGGCTTGAACTTCTTATCACCAGCAGTCCGAAGTATTACTGGTAAGTAAATTTGTGCTAATTCATTCTTTCTTAGCTTTTAATTATTTAGTGGTGGTGGCCGAATGTGTCTGAAGTATATTGAAATAATTCTACAATATGGTGATTTCCTTAGCTTACCTACGCAAAATCCGAGCCTCGAAAATGTTTACCACTCGGGGAGACAAGCAGCCTGGTATTTCAAGCATCGAACTATCCCCTTTCACATTATCCGACCAACAATTTCATCGGAAAGCTAGTAAGCCGTGCATATTTATACACCACTTTATCGCAATAGCACAACATCCCGGCCGGGAGTATGCCTCAGATGTCTCAGACCTTGGTTACGTAAGGCTAAAGGAAGTCGGGTTTGGATTCGCCTTTGAAGCGTTGCTTGTTAGCTCTATAGGAGTATGATGGGGGTCGAAGGTCTTGAGGTCGACTAAAATCTTATTTTCAGCTTCGAAAACAGGAACCAGTACAACTTTGACCACAAAATGCTACAGGCATTCACTGAAACGTCTTACCCTACAGCCGGCCAGGCTTCTTTTTGGATGCGATTATGTTTACGCATCTTCCAAACCCGGCATATGGTTCGCTGACCATTGCAGTCTCATGATTAACATTGATGAGGTGCTGACATGCTGCAGTACGTTTCTCTGGCGCCAAACGAAAACCTTCTCGAGTAGTGCATTTCGGCCATGTTGCGATCGCTGCAACTTGGGATATATATAAGCCAGGCACATAATCTGGCCCGACGTCAATAAGCTGACAAGTTGGCCTTCGCGTTGATGACACCGGTAAGCGCGACATAATTGCAATCAGCTTTACTGACCTGCCTGAGGTTCTGGCAATGAATACTGAACACAGAAGCCTGATATCTACGGCGGGGATTTGGCCAATTAATCAAAATTGAACTGACTGGACCCTTGAGGAAAGTGTAGTCCGTATATCGTTCCGAGTTTTGCATCTGACCTCCCATCAGCTATTGGACATAGAGGAACCATGCTCAATAACGTCTCCGTTTTGTTAGAACCACGAGTCAACTGCGCGACCAAAGATCAATGTGAGAACTGTGAATGAGGCAGCGTTCGCATCAACTGAAGAAACGAAAGGCTTGAATCAATTAATTGTTGTTGTCCATAAATTTATTCATCGCGATGATATTGTTGCTTCAGCGGTAACTCTCAAGGGTGACCAAATAAACTGACAGCTGTGCGTCAAATATGTTCCCAGTCTTATTCTCCCAAGCTGGTGTCCCCAGCTAAAGGACTAACAAGGGCGCATAGTGCTGCAAACGGCAAAAGCACCTTGAAAACTCATATGCGGTGTGTCGATTCAGCGTCTATGCAACAAGAAGATTTTGGTAACTCGGAGCTTTCTGTATGCGACACTGGCAACCGGAATCCAGCGGATATTAGCATGGGACTGGTTGTTGGGTTCGCATCTCCGACCAATTAGAGCTCGCCTTGCCAATGGGGCAGGGACTTGAGGCCGTGACCAATAGGCTGCGGGTTGGCCGTTGCACCGCTCAACTTCGACCGTTAGAGTGGTTTTGCGGTAGTCAGGTATTTGTCATCAGGTATTTAAGAATAAAAGCAAATAAGTGTAGGTGCGGGTTGATGCTAACACCACAACATCGTAGACAATTTCTTGTCAGTTCGCCACATGCAAATCGGACCTGCACGACTAATACCTCATTTTCGACTGTATAGTCGCCGAATGGCGCGGTAGGTATCACTGATTTGTGTCAACAACACTCTCATCACATGCATGTGGAGACCGTGTAAGTCGCCGGGGACTATATTTAAAAAACGTTACACTTTAGAGGCGGAGAGCGACTGGAACAAACACTTAAAAACGCTGTCGCAGAGCATATAAACCAAATTAACGTTCTATTCTTTACTAAAATCCGACAGAGCCTTTCCTGAACTCCTCACAGGCAAAAAATGACGAACCAAAAAGTCGTGATAATAGTGATATTCGCTTCGTAGGATTTTAATAACATATAACCTTACTTTGGTTTATGTGCACTGCAACAGCGTTTTTCACTGTTTGTTACAGTTGCACTCCTTCTTTGCATTAGGTGAAACGTCTTTTAAAGTGTAATCTCCGGTGACTTACACGGCTTCTACATACGTGTGATATCACATGCGACTTACACGGCTTCTACATGCATGTGATATCACTCGCATATGCGAGTGTTGTTGACACAAATCGGTGATACCTAATGCGCCATCCAGCGACTATTTGTAACTACACAGTCGCAAATGTGGCATTAAGTTGCCGGGGATTACACTTTAAAAGACGTTTCACCTAATGGAATGAAGGAGTTCAATTGTAACAAACAGTGAAAAACGCTGTTGCAGTTCACATAAACCAAAGTAAGGCTATATCTGTTATTACAGTCATACGAAGTCTTTCATGAGCTCCTCATAGGTCACAGAAATGAAAAATTGAAAAGTTGTGGTAATAGTGATATGAAAGCTATGAAAGCACCGAGGGACTGTGACACTGAGGGCAGGTGTTCATGACGATTTCTGTGGTCGGAGAACGAAAGAAAGCTCATGTGCCGAAGCCCAGTAAGCAAGGTTGCACATGATCAATACCTATATATAAATCAACCAAACTGACGGACGCCGTATACTACAATAAAGAATTCAAGCCAAGTCCAAAATGTGTAGCGGTGTGGGTGTTAACCAACTCAGGTCACCATAGTATGCCTCTCCCAGAAAAAAGTGCTGTTTAAGTAGACAAGGCGCTACTATGGAAACAGACCAACCTCCTTCTCCTTGACGAACAGAAACAAGGGACCACAAGTGACCCAATGCTGGTATCTGAAGCCTACAGAGAACACTGCATGTCTGTATTCGGTTCCAGCAGCCTCGTCAATCTTGTCAAGACGTAGCTACGAATTGTCGTTAATCGACCTGGTCTTCACGCAGGGTGAAGTTGGTGAAGCCCCATCACGTGTTTGGGCCAGAAGAGGTCCATCCAAGAATCCTGAAGAAAACAGCACTCACACAATCTAAGTACTTCTAACTGGTGTTTCACTCGTCTCTCTAAGAAGGCGACCTTTCCTCTGCTTGAAAGAAAGCAACTGTCATGCCAATCTACAAAACTGGTGATCGCCTATCACCCAGCGGCTGCAGACATAGTAACCTCGTTAGCATACCGTGCAACGTGATGGGACGCATTCTGATGTGGGCATCTTAAATCACCCCAGTCCCAACAACTTGATATCCCTAGCGCAACACGGATTCCTCCCAAACCGTTCTTGTGTGACACATGCTCGTAGTTATGTACAGCTCGACCAAAGCGAAGAATGAAAGACTCATATCGGATGCCATATTTCCCGATTTCTGAAAAGCATTCGATCGAGTCCCACACGCCACGCTGCACCACAAGCTTGAGTCTTGTGGGCTTCAGGGAAAAATCCTACGCCGGATGAAGGAGTTCGTATTAGATATAGCATTCCAAGTAAAAATAGGCTCGACCTACTCTTCTCCGGGACCGGTCTCCATTGGAGTTCATCAAAGCTCCATTTTGGGACCACTTCTGTTTCTGATCTACGTCAACCATCTTCCAGATGTTCTTCCAAGTCCATATATACTTTTTGAGGATTGTTTAGAGTCTTGGAGTAGCAAATTAAGCGTTTTCATAATGGATGTAGAAACTGCAAAGCAGTGGCCACTGAACTGACACCTCCTGAATGACGAAAAGTGCGTCCGTAATTCGTTCGGAGGAAACTCAGGGAGCGCCCTTACTTTGCATTGTTAGGATGGATCAGGAGGCATTACGAAGATAGAACCCATAAAGGATTTAAACATCTGGCTGGTCGAGCATGTCGCACTCACTGTACCTTAAAAAAATCGGCATAAAAGGCATTCATCGTTCTTCGGATGTTTCGGCATACTTTTTTCCCTATTACTCGCGAGAAATCTGGGGGCATACGTAAGACGGCTTAACCACGCCAACCGAATCGTCTACTGGGCGCAATGTGGGCGTAATCTTTATCCAACGAGCTGCTACGAAGACGGTCGCCTGCCACAACGGGTCTCGAGGTGCTTATACCCAGAGTATTGTCACCTCAGTGGTGACCTAGTTCCCCGTTATGGCTTGTTTGAACAAAGTTTGGCCCTCGTGCGACTTTCGGGTGGCATGGCAGTTAGGCACCGAAAGGGTGCTACAGCTGAACGTTTTTGTACGATTAGAAGGCGAATTTTCGGTTGTGCAGCGGGGACTTCTATTGAAGAATGTGTTCAGCACCATAAGCTGCGTTGGTTACGCCATGTATTGCGCATGCCGAACCATCGTTTGCCAAAGAGAGTGGCGAAAGCAGAGGTGGCCAACTCTTGTCCACCTGGCAGAGGGGTATGAAGGAGTATACGAAATGTTTGGGTGCTGTCAGTGCCACTGGCCTTCCGAGATGAGGACCACGTAACCCCCACTGCATCTGGTTGGAGACGCTGCACGATACAGCTGCCAACACATGTCAGTGACGTTCTTGTCAGTTTCCATCCAGATTGCCTCAATCAGTGTCTGGAAGTGTAAGCACCTTGGATTGATTGTAGTAACCTAACACTAAATTCCTTCCCTTATCCATCGTTATTCTTTTCTTCGCAATAGGTCATTTAAATCATGGTTGTTTGGCAGCGAAATATCACCGTTGAAAACTGATGTCATGCTGTCGATAATGTTGATGATGATGATGATGCTTTTGGAGCAGCCAGTCGACGTGGTAGATAGATTTGTTTGCCTGAGCAGTTGTATAGGTTCCGGTGGGCTGACTGGAGATGCGCTTGTTTCCTTAATTGGGAGCCATGGTAGCGTGACGTCAGTTTGTCTATCAAGGTCGGAGTATACACTGCGACGGCGCGATCTACATTGCTTTACGGATCACGCAAAGGACATACGAAAGCTGTCAGTACTTGACCGTCGGTGTCTCCAAAGCAGTAGCTGGGTTTGATTGGAACATCAGATTAGCAATGCTGAGGTGCGCCACGATGGATGAGTTACTCATGCTTAATAGTTTACGCTGGGCAGGCCATGTACTTTGTATGTCAGAGGATCGTCTGCATTACAGGGCTTTCTTCGCCCAGCCCTGGGCTGAGAGGTGGACAGCGTATGACTTAGCGAAAAAGTATCAGGGCACTAACCACGGAACTCAGTGGGGTTGACGACCGCTGCTTCCCCGAATGGGGATCTTGGTTGTTACCGGATTAAGTAACACTTGCAAACTGTCCCAGATAGAAACCGTGGGGTAAGACAGATCCATGGTCAGTGATCGTGACAGATATGGCTGTATCACGTAGCCAATGGTGAGCCTGCTTCAAAACTATCTCCTCCACTGCATAGCTCTCGCTGTCTGCCATACTGGACAAGCAGAAGCATTTAGCGTAAATGAACTGACTGAGCCATCATATTCAATACGTGACTCATTTTCCTATTCTCTTCATCTTCGGCGAAGAAAAGGAGTCTGCGCTGAAGGCCACGTGGTCAACTTTGAGACCATTGGATGTGATGTAGACTTGGCGTACTGCTCTTGTTAGTTTCCTGAAACTGCCGCGGAGAAGCCATTTTGGTATACCTCTAAGATATCTTGAGATGTGTACTGTACGTTCCTGTCAAGCGTATTCCATTAGTCATTAGCCTGCTGGCCTTAACTACTGAGACTTGTCTCTAGTCTCAAGCTCATTGCGTAAAATCCCATGTACACTTCTTCCACCTATTTTACAGACGCTTTCCATTAATCGCCTCATAGTTTGACCCTCCGTGAGATGAAGTATCGTGATCGTTACGTGTTTTACAAGGATAGACCAGAATGGGCTGATGTCGTACCGGTTCCACAAGACGAGGGCGAGCGAAACGTAGTACGAATAGCTTACTCTCCACAGTTTGTTGATGCACACGACTATATGCGTGCGGTACTACTCAAGGATGAGCGGAGTGAACGTGCGTTGGAGATCACTGGCACTGTTTTACTTCTCAATCCCGCCAACTTTACCGTATGGGAGTACCGACGACGGATTCTCATCTCATTACAGGTGGATCTTGTAGAGGAGTTGCAGCTTACCGGAAAACTAATTGACGAGCATTCGAAAAACTATCAGGTATGTTGTGTTATTTACAGCTACTGAGGTCTGTTTTTATACGTCGGAAATCTAAACGATTCCATTGTTGCACCCTTTCGCTGTATATGTGCGTTGTAATCCGAAGGCTGCTACCACCGGGCTGCTTATTATTGAACCAGTACTCTGAGAGCTAGAGCAGAGCTTAAAACGCATATAATACCCCAATCACCCACATGTCAAGCCACAATTTTCCACCCATTCCTACTGGTGTTTTTGGTACTTGGCTAATCTTTCTCTCCATGGTGTTGAGGTCACTCACAGTTCGTCTAGCGTAAAAGAAGCGTCGGAACGACTGTTCCAACCATAAATTTAGAGACCACAAACCTTTACTAGCACCTCGGCAATTCCGCGGACATTAGCTAAGATGTCGTCGAGGTGGAATTTGTGTTCATCATATCTTTACAATAGCGCCACCGGCTAACTCCAAAGGAATCTTTGCTCCTTTAAATAGACCAACCCTTCTGGATGTACTTGGACTAAGAGGAACGTCCCTTAAGTTTGTAAGCCTACTTCGTACTGACAGGTGAAATAGACGCGTGCATTACCACGACGCAAGTAACATTCGCCTACTTGCATCAGTTGTTTCGTCAGAAACGAATTTTATGAAGGCTAAAGAGCCATGTGTACAAAGCAGCTGTTTCGTTTTACTTCATAGTTGTGAAACCTGGCCTCCGATTCAACGGTCTTAACATTTTAATGTTTGATCTACGCTGCAGGTTCGCGAAAGACAGACCGTAACATAACCGGGAACTGAGGTTTAGGCACTTTATTCTTAATTTTTTTTCGTATGCTTAACAAATTAGGACACCGCCTTTCGCCTCCACTGTTTACTAAATCTTTCTTCACATCCATTCGACGTTGTGATGCTGTTGGTGATTATGATTGATAATAAGGTCTTACCACTGAATCGATTCCTGTTAAACGACTTCCTTCAAACCTTGACATTGTGTTGGCTGACACTTCTGTCACAGTAATGAAGGCCATCTGGTCTCGTTATGATCCTCTTTGTGTTGTTCTGAATCTGTCCCGGTAAACACCAGACAGAATGGAGAGGTATAAAAGTGCACATTGCTGCACAAGTAGGCAAATTATACTCGATTAAGCATGCCGGACAAGCTGAAACTTGGCATAGGACATTTTACATATATATGTATGGTAGTAGTATACGTCAGCCAGTGTTCGAACTCGAGGCAGCTAAAGAATAGTTTGCTTCACACAGATCTATAGCTGACATGCGTCACCTGCTTACGCAATTTCTCTGCATGAGATGGGAGACACCACACGGTAAGTGGCGTCGTAGGAAGGATTATACCTGTGGCCGGAAGCACATTTCTCTAGTCCACATATGAAGCCAAACTGTTAATTGCAGCTTCAGTTAGCTGTTCATTCACGACACACACTTGCCTCAGTAGACATTTTAAACTAAATGAGAACAGCAATGGACCAGAATTTCCCATGGAGGTTTTATGCTGATCATATAGGGGTAGATAGAATGAGTTAAATCGCTGAGGCCAAGCATAATAGTCCCCCTCCAGCAGAGACCACCCGTAGGAGCCGATCGAAGCGATCCCTTCTGGAGGAAAAATCGCTTTTTGAAAGGTCGACCAAACCCCTAGTTTTGTGTGCCAACCTAATGGCTCTTCGGTCAACTGGAGAATTCTGTAAGAAACATGTTTTGCTTGTTTGAATCGCATATTATTCCCTTCATGTGGTACCATCTTGAAATATTATTCTATTGCAATGGGCAGTAAACTTGGATACTATTGGGGACCCAAATGCACTATTTTTCTCAAGGTTTCATTGATTAAACCACGTGTGATTTGATGACCTCTGGAGCGACAGAGTAGTCCATCCTACATTTACCGGTGCGACTGGAGGATGCCCGAACTCATACATACGAATGTGCCACCAGGAACCAGCATATGATTCTCCTGCGACTTCATTATCTCTCATAGTCTCATAGCCCACGCACTGTGGCTTTATTAGAGCCATGTCCTACGACGTCTTCCCGGCTGAATATCGAAAGACTTCGGGCACGAATGCACAGTACCAGTGAATTTTTGAGTAGTTATGTATGCAGGTACCCGCCATCACCTACCAGAACGAGCACGACTGACTGCATGACTGGACCATGGCTCTCCGTATCTCTGGGTTTTCTTAGCCCCCGTCCTAGTGTTTCTATCTGAGGAACCGGCATCTGCCACCGGGATTGATGGTTACCCATTTTTTAAACTTCATCAGACGAATTTTCAGCCTTGATTCAACTGGATGGCGAGTATGCCTGTTGTCAACCGCATTCACCCCTTGCTGACTGTTCACTGTCCTTCGAGCTCTGGCGAATGTCCGATCTCCCTGGCTCATAATCTCCTGGCTCTTTTCTTCGTCTCTTTTTGGTGGAAAGTTGTGGCACCATCGTCAGTGGATAGCCACTCAGTTGGCGGAACAATCAGACAAGATTTCAGCAGACGAGAAACCACTGAATCGCCAGTCCATTGGTCAAGAGGAGCTTGATTTCACCGATACTGTCATCTCAGATGACTCGAAAAACTATCATGCGTGGCAGTACCGTCGCTGGGTCGTCACTTATTTCGGAATGCCGTCTGCAGGAGAACTGCAGTACACTAACAGACTTATCCAGGAGGACATGTACAACAACTCCGCTTGGAACCATCGTTTCGTAGTCGTCACAAAGGACGAAGGACTCACACCGCCTGTGCTGCAGCGGGTACGTCCTAAGATTGTCAGAGTGATTTCCTTCGAGTTATAAATGGCCTAAATGACTATTTCAAAGCCACTTGTATTTGAAGGTCTAATCGGATAGTCTCCTCAGTAACGAGCAGTCGGTAAATTGACAAGGTGTAATAGAAATGTACGTACCTTGTTTTACAGATTCGTTAAATATGGACTGTCGGAACTCTCCGGGTCCAGTCTTCACTGTTTTGTAACTTATGATACATATACGATTTAGGATAGGCAGTTCATGGATCCCGTGCACCTCCGTAAGGCGCGTTCAAGAGAACTGCATCCGCTGGAACATTCTGGGGAAGTGCTTCTGTACCTGAGTGCGATGAATCCCATTGGATGGAAATTATGGGTTCCAAGGTGCGGAGACCGAATGTTTTGATGGCGTCTGAAACCTAACTATGGACACTCGTATATTGCTTTTAGAACGGACCTTCCGAGTCAATGTATTTTGTATAGGGGTGCACGGGGTTAGAGAGGTTGAGAGCCACTGTTGTAGAGAACGCGCACTTAAGTTAGGTAATCTTATTTGACTCAATTTATGGACGATCTACCCAGCTTCAGGCTGTAGGATAATTGGGCCGTTGCTTCTTCCCTTACTTTCGGCTACTCGACTCAACTCATGAGTAAGTTGCTTCATATATGACAACGAAGTATCGGTGTCTGAACACTGATGATATACTGCCGATGATGATGAGATTGCTTCTCTCAAGGTTCAATGGATAACCTAACCTGAATGATGTTTCATTGTAAATACTTCACTAGTGAGTGCAATTCATTTGGTGATATTTTACTGCTTGCGCTTCTCTCTTTTTTTTCTAGGAAATAGACTATGTTCAAAGAATTATTCGTGCAGCGCCCAATAACGAAAGCTCTTGGAATTATTTGTACGGCCTGCTGGTCCCCTCCCCTTGTGTGGTCGCTTCTGGTTCCTCCTATTCCAAAAACAACAAATCTTCTCCACGTCCTGACTTGGTTGGGTTCAACACAGCCAGCGAAGTGGTTGACGAGACTGTGCGATCGACGTCTCCTGTAGAGAAACCAGATTCGAACCCCCGAATGACGAAACTCGTTATTCGATCGCCCTCGGCCGCTAATCTCAGAGCGATGCGCAAATTTGCTGAGGAGTTGGCTGCCGCTGACGCAGTGGCTGCAAATAGCGTGGCGTTGCTCGGCTTTTTGGTTGAGGTCTATGCAGACTGTATACAGGCGCGCGTAGAGGAAAAAACTCGGAATGGGTACGCTCAACTTAATTCGGACTTGGCCTCCGGTGAAGCCTCGAGCAAGTAAGTGACCTATTTGTTTTCGATGAGCTGAACGTTTTGGCGGCTAGATTTGTAGTACATTTACTTCGCCGAGAATTACGTATGCATGTGGGACTACTACTTACCAAACGCACGCTCATCACTGTCCACTTAACCCAACTATTCACTTGTGACACCCTCTCGGTGCATAGAAACTCGAGGGTTGCACATTGTACCGCCGGGGAGCCAGCACAATAATATAACAATGAAATGAGCAGATGGTAATGGTTGGAAACTCAAGCCATGAGTCTTGATGTGTTGCACCTTTACTGCCTTAAGCGTGTATTGCAGTAATGAACTCTAGCCATTCAGGGTTGGGGGAATCAGGAAACGTCTTTCGCCTTCAGTTCTGGAGTGTTCGATTTTTGGGAGCGTGGACTACGGTAGAACAACGCAGTATTGTCTGCAAAACGGGCACCTTCACACGAAGAGTACCGCACCAAGTCATTTTCTCCTTCTGTGTAGGCTGCACCTCAAGACCCCAGAGACGAATTCGGCTACTTAAGTATTTGTTCAAGTCATCAGTGACAGTGACGTCCGGGTTGAACTCATGTCTACTAGGTATCTATTCTTGCGAGTTCGAGGCAGCTCAGTGGTTAAGGTGCGAAGTTGCTGGCCGGAAGGTCTCTGGCTCAAACCAGAACTCCGCGACAACATTTCTCATCATGTTTTGCCGTGTGAACCCCCTGAAGTGCGCAAGTATCCCCACTGTCTGCATGGTTTTTCTCAAGGAGGACCGCCGTATCCATCACAAAATGAGGTTGTTTTGACGTCCCTGATCGTCGTCTGATTCGTCAGAGGTCCGAATACCAGAATTGGAATGTATTGAGAGCTCCGGTGTTGATTCACTGCATTCACTACACCACGGGACAGTGGGCCTCTATTGCTGGAGCAACAGCGATGCCAAGTCACATGACAGCTCGGTTCAATGGTCACCAGTTCAAGCCTTCTGCTACGTTAACTTACTCTGCAACGTGGCATTCGATCATTCAAGCACGGCTGCATTTCAAGCGTCCACTAGTTGCTACGTCGCAGCATCGGGCAAAACGCATCAAGTTTGATGGAAGGTTGTCGGCAAATCCCACTGACTAAAATCGGATTTGCGTCCCTAATACGCGTTTCTAACCTGCAAAACCCTCCAAACTAACTAAGTTGTGGGCAGCAAGGCTGAACCAAGACTAAGGATATTACAAAATTCTGTCTTTCTGACGAGGTTATCAAGTGGTGGACACCCAGATGGTAAGCCGATTCACACAGCACAACCTAATTGACGTCTTCCTCCGGACACTTTCACGTTTTCCCTCTTCTACCCTACCCCACCCAACTTTGAGTACTCTCTCCGCAGGTCCCAGTACTAGGACTGACCGCTGTGTTCGCCGCGCGTCACACTCAGCTGCAACTTCTGTACGTTTGATTTCAGCAACAACCCGAAGTCTGTTTTTAAGCCCCGAAAGTGTCTACTTAGCTACCTTTAATGTTCACACACTGAAGCAAGCACGACAATAGGTGGCTCTTCCTCGTACGTTGGATTTCCTCTGCATTGATGTATGCTATGCTGTGTCAGATACAAGGGTAGATGACGCAATTACTGTGGTTGAATTGACTGCCCCCTCGTTCTCTCCTAGATACCGGCTGCGAACCTCTGGTGATGCAGAGGCCGTTGCAGCTGGATATGCTAGGGTGGGTATTGTATTAAGCGACCAAGCGAAAGCGTCTCTACTGAATTGAATACCCGTCGATAGTCGCGGTTCGTTTGGCGGCATCTGTGAGAGAATCTTGTTTATTCTGTCTGCTTACGCCCTGTTATGTTCTCTACTAATCAGTTAATCAACCTTGTCAGTTACACACGAAATTGAGAAGATAAAAAACCTTGAGGAAATTATACTGCAGCAACTGAACAGCCAATATCGAGATTCGAAGAATCAAGAATGGAATGGAACAAAACAGTCCAATGAAAGGCTGAAATAGAGAGA